AAAAAAACCTGATATAAATGTCAGGTACACGCTGTGAGGTATAAGGGAAATCACAGGGACTGTGGTGCTATTATACCTTATGTACACGCTGTGAGGTATAAGGGAAATCACAGGGACTGTGGTGCTATTATACCTTATGTACACGCTCTGCTGTGATATATATTATATATATATTTTTTTTAATCATTTGTCTCCACCCCCCGGTGTCCTCCAGTCCACCCCCAGGCACAGCAAGGTGAGCTCTTATCATAGTCACAGGTATCTGGGGGTGACTGGGCCTCGGTACGCGGCAGCGGCCCACAAACGAGCCAATGATTACAGAAAGGTGTGTCGCCACATTTTCCAGGGGCTCCTGATATGTCAGTCATGCAGCCTTTATGAAAAGACCATTTCAGTTCTCTAGTGCCGGTGTTAATGTAATAGCCATTCTCTTATGGAATAAAATGTTCTTTTGTGGTTCCTTTGAAGAGCTCCAGTGAGAGAGCAGGTATATAATTTATGGTAGCGTTAATTACCATTTTAGATGTTAGGAAATGGTTAAAACGGAATGTCCGGTGTTAAAAACCTGCCCCGCCTGCCCCTGCTGCTTTGTGTATTTTGATTTTCACTATTTTCATCTGCAGTGCAATGATTTAGTTTAAATGCCACCAACCCGGAGGCAGGATTCAGCTCCGCTCAGCTGGTGTTTTGTTATATAGAAAACGTGACTTGGTTTGATTCTGATTACTGTTGGTATCGAAGATTACAGCCCAGGGAGTCTGCTGGTAAAGGGCAGTAGTTAAGGTGCTTAGTAAGGGAGCGACAGAGAGTGGAGAAAATGGAGAAGTGTTGTTTGACACTGTGTTTGTCGTGTGACAGTGGAACGCTCCAGCCCGGCTCACTCCCTCCAGTTCCCTCCCATCCTTGCTCATGGTACGTTCCAAAGCCCCCCCTCTTGTTTCTCATGGTACATTCCAAAACCCCCTCCTGTTTCTCTTGGTACATTCCAAAACCCCCTCCTGTTTCTCTTGGTATGTTCCTGATCTCTGCCCTCCTTGGTTTTTGGTTAGGCTGCGCACAGCCTGTCCTTGTGGACCGTCAGTGTCCGTATCCTCCTGCTGTAAGCTCCTGTGTACCTTTAGACACATGGGTCACCTTCCCATCACCTCTGCTCATATCACATTCTCCCCACTGGGTGTTCAGGGAGTCTGCTTGCTCTGGTGTTTTTACCTCACTGGTGATGTTATGAGGATCCGTTGTATTTATTGCTGTTTATTGAGTTTTATGATCTTTGTGTCAAACAAAATACAGAAATTTACAGCTGTGGTCTCTTTATTAAAATTTATAAAAATGGTGCCGACAGCCCATCATCCACTTGTAACTGGTTCCTAGGAAGTGCTTGGGGAGGGCAAACTCCAGTATCAGGAAGCTATTTCCATTTCTTATGCGGAAAATTCTAATTTGTTCTGGATCCATCCAAGAAACCCCACTTAATCTCTCTAAAACTTCTGTAACGTTCAGAAATACCTCTTTTAGTATGATGAACACTTTAAACACCCATTATCTCATCAAGGTTTGGTCTTTATTATCCTGCAGTACCACAGTAATCGTTATAATAGGGTATATAATATTCTTCTATGTAAAAATTAGACAAACTATGAAATTGACCTACTGCTTGTTTACTGGGGTGTAGGTCAACTGCATGACATCACTGTCTATTGTGTGGTGTTTAGTTCTGAAGTTAGCCTTTATCTCCTAGCAGTCCTTTCATATTTGTTGATAGGCCCCCCGTACCCCTTCAAGCTCTGCCCCCCAGGGGGAGGTGGGTGCGGCACCCCAGACTCCTCTGGCAGCGCCTGTCATGCCTTCCCCCAGTGCTGGGCTCACCACCCCAACCGCTGTGGCCCAGGCCACGCCCACTAAGGTAAGCCCCGCCTCCTCGCCGGGATTCTTCCAATGGCACTCTAGGATTGGTTTGGGTGGAAAGAGCCCTGTAATGTGTCTCTGAATCCAGGAGGAGGAGTCACTGCGCGCCCAGGTGAAGGATCTGGAGGAGAAGCTGGAGACATTGCGCATGAAGCGTGCAGAGGACAAGGTGAAGCTCAAGGAGCTGGAGAAGAACAAGATCCAGCTGGAGCAGCTGCAGGAGTGGAGGAGCAAGATGCAGGAGCAGCAGGCAGAGCTGCAGAAGCAGCTGAAGGACGCCAAGAAGGTGCCGCTCTGCTCCCGCGTGCTCCGCCGTCTCCGCCATGCCGTCCTCCTGGGGGCTCGCTGAGCCTGACCTGGCCTCCCCTTTGCCCTGTATTCCTCTTTACCCTGTATTCCCCTTTACCCTGTATTCCCCTTTACCCTGTATTCCCCTTTACCCTGTATTCCCCTTTGCCCTGTATTCCCCTTTGCCCTGTATTCCCCTTTACCCTGTATTCCCCTTCACCCTGGCCTCCCCTTTACCCTGGCCTCCCCTTTACCCTGGCCTCCCCTTTACCCTGGCCTCCCCTTTGCCCTGTATTCCCCTTTACCCTGTATTCCCCTTTACCCTGTATTCCCCTTCACCCTGGCCTCCCCTTTACCCTGGCCTCCCCTTTACCCTGTATTCCCCTTTACCCTGGCCTCCCCTTTACCCTGTATTCCCCTTTACCCTGGCCTCCCCTTTACCCTGTATTCCTGCTCCCAGCTC